AAGATGGTACTTGTTTTTACCCTCTCTGGCACTCGGCATTAAGGGGCTAAAACAAGGACTGGTCGGCTCGGAGTCAGTATACCATATTTGAGTAAGGTATCCATGTTAAACTGCGGCATGGTGTCTCAGTGAGCTAGCACTAAAAATCGGCATCAGTCCGGACTAGTACAAGCAGCCACGCACCCATGCACGTCGCTATGTAAGTGCAATAATCTTGGACGCGACGTTTAATCCAATTTCACCTCACCTCACCTCACCTCACCTCACCTCACCTCACCTCACCTCACCATGTAATTTAACATTTGAAACCTCTTCCAGAAGGATGTTAGCAAGCTCAGGCATACTTGTCATTGTTGTGTGCTTTCATTATGATATATTTTCTGTTTCTTCCATGATTTGTTTGTTGGGAATTTTTGACTGATGCAGACTTAAGCCTTAAAGAAATTGCTAGGTGTATTGAATGGCCATGCATAGTGCAGTCTGTATCTTTAGCCACAGGTCCAATGCCAGGGTCTCTTTAGCGTTAAGTAAGGATGAGATATATGGATGAACAACTTCTTTATTACAATTGTTAATTCATATATCTTATCCTTACTTTGTACTCCAGCTTCTAAATGACTCTCAAAGAAGTTCTCTTTAGTGTTCTTTTGCTCGAGTACATTCATCCAGTATTTGAAATGGTATTAAAATTAACTAGTGATTAAAATAATACCGAAAGACAAGTTCGGGCTAGTTGTCGTGGTTGAATTACTCACTATTGTTCAGGTTATAATGTTTGAAAAGGAACAAGTATTGTCTGTGAAGAGTTTTGAAGTTCACTGTATGCACAGAATGTCATTTAATGCTGTAGTCAGGAATATTCCATGTCTATCTGCAAATAATTGATTGAGGACCAGCCAAACCAGTGGTTGACATTATGAGCACTATTACACCCCGTTGAGGTACAACGACACACAGACAATCCACCAAGTCACCAAACCTAGGCACCTATCCAATTTAATCGCCTTTGGCAACAATAGAGTGCAAGGGACTTTTTCTGACCAATGTTCCGCATGTTCCAATTTCATGTTATTGCTATCATATAACATAGCTTTACAAATGAAAAATAGTCTATTTATATCCCAACTACCAAGAATATCTCTGCATTAAAGTAGTGTTAATGTATCACATTCATATTCAAACATTTCAACAGTAACTTTTGATGACTATATGACAACATAAACAACAGAATTTCAATTACTGTCTAATTCTAGCACTAGAAAATATCATGTTTAGTCCTCTAGTCCTCATATTGATAACATATAGCAAAACCCTTAAAAATGCCACATTTCTACTTGTCCTTATGATACCTTAACTATTGGGCAGTTTTGCAAGGACTACAGGACTAGTGCCAAGTTCTAATACTGCTGTCAATGTTGTCATCAAGCCTGCCAAACTGCAGGAAATTCCCCAGCCCCAGAGAAAGATGGCGGCTCGTGTGAGTCTCGAGTTTGATGACCCTTGTCAGACTTCATCTTCCCACACCTATCAATTGTCCCCGTGTCAGATCATCGGTGACCATCAGGCTCTGTTGACACAATGTTTAAGAAAGACAAATGATCACCTCACTGTATTGATTCCCTCCATTCATCATCCTCAGTGTCAGTGCAGTGCTTACAGCTCTGTCGGAACATTCCAGCAAGAGACTCAAAAACTGAGGGGCAAAAGAAAGTTTGGTATTTATGTAATTGAAAGTTGAAAGAACTGTTGTCAAATTTGATGAGGTCTATTTAACCATCACTCATTCCTGCTACCATTTGTAAAAAGCGATCTGTGGCTGGGTAATTTTGTGTAAAAATAAATTCGTTCAATGAAGACTTGGGAAAGAAATGAATTTCCAACCACATGACTCCTACTATGTTTCAAATGTAATTTTGTGCCGATTAAAAACAAATTTATTGGTTTTCGAAGATAATGTCTAAAATACCCATCAGCAGGTATGTATTATGTAACTTTCTTCTTCTTGGTACCATGATCAGGTAAACTTGGTACCATGATCAGAAATATTTGGTACCATGATCAGTTAAACTTGGTACCATGATGAGAAAAATAGAGGTTATCACGCGAGTGTGTTTGGGGATGGTAAATATCCTGCATTAGGAATAAACATTGTATTTAGCGAGCCTTGGCGAGCTAAATAAATAGTGTTTATTCCTAATACAGGATATTTACCATCCCCAAACACACAAGCGTGATAACCTCTTTATCATATAATGTCATTCTTTAATTCTGTGCTTAAAAATCGCTTTCCCTCACTCACAAACATTACCGAAACATTGCGAGTTTTCCTGGAATGCGCGCATTAATATTTATTACGTCACAGGGTAAGTGATGTGTCAGTCGGACAGTGACAGTAGCCAATATAGTTCCATCTGAAATATGTTTCTTATACAGTGGCCTAGCAATATATACGCAAATCAACAATTGTTTTTAATTGTCTTTCGCGGCAATCCATCGGTCTGTCCCCTAGAGTAACTGCCCTTTGTCAAAGGGAAACTACTCTAACCCTAGTCTATGAGCCGTCACGGCCACAGTCAGATGTTGGCGACAGTCGGTCTGTCCTGTCATAACGATAAGAAGTGTTGTCAGATGTACACACAGCGACAAAACGAAACAAGGTAACAATTCAAACATATTTCCGCCAAATCCAACTAGGCCCTATTTTAATTTGTGGAGGAGGTTTCAAGCCGCAGAGGTCTACAAGCACAGATATGGCTACTGATCCCGCTTGGCTAGGTCTCGTGCCCTAGCCAAATTGTTTCGAAATGTATATCTCCAAAGTTGCCAAAACTTATAAAATGCCTTAGCTACGTCACAGTTAGACACAGATTTTCAGTATATTAGACTGTTTTTTTGATAATGATAGCAATTATCCCTGTAGTTTATCCAGATTCCCGATGGTTAATTCTGACTCGATCGCCGAATGACGAGTGCGACGCCGTGTTTGTTTATAAACAGTGAAAGTAGTCCTTACGTGACCTTTGATATTTGCATCTCTATCCGCATATGACCCCAATGGATATCGTTTTTATCCATTGGCTTTATCCTGCCGAGAAACCTACCCATTATATGATAAACATTGTATCTTGATCAGATAAACTTTGGATCATGATCAGGTAAACTTTGGATCATGATCAGATAAACTTGGAACCATAATCAGATAAACTTGGTGTAACTGAGGTCACCAAGCAGGAACTATGTAAGCTTCATACATCAATGCAGTGCCTGCTATGTGCTCAACTATAGCCCAGTGCTCCTAACCAACAGGCTTCCTAATGTGTATACCTGTTCACATGTGAGGCTGCAATTCATTTGGCACTATGATAAATGGGGCAGGTTACTCCTGCATGATGTACCCATACACAGTTTCTAAAGCTACAGATTTGAGTGAAGTTACACATGTACCAAGGTAACAAACTCACTGTATATCCCCTGACTCTCTGTCACCAACACTGTATGGCTGCACAGCACTGAGATCCAGGACACCCAACCCTCATGGGGACTATATCTACCCCTCAGAGAGGTCTTTCAATTCCAGTGTGAAGCCCATTGGTGGTGTCCCCCGCCGTGATATCGCTGGAATATTGCTAAAAGCGGCGTAAAACGGTACTCACTCACTCTTTCAATTCCATGTTGGCATAGGTTCCTGACCTTGTAACTGGACATAATGTCCATTACTGTCTGCCACATGTCTGTCCAGCTTCTGAACACTCCAGCCAGTAGCGGAGGAATTGGTCCAAAATGGAGTATTAATTTAAAAGGGATGAAAGATATAAATGTCAGAAGTGGGCCATGATGTTAAAGATCAGACTAAAATTACATACTGTATTTGACGTAAAAAGGGCGCTCTCAGTATTAGAAATAGGGGTCTCTTATTAGAATATTATTTTTGTGAAAAAAACAGATGAAAGATCGTAAATTTCGTGGTTTATCCTGACAGCCTGAAATTTATATATACGACAGATATATTTTTCCAGAATTTAATTGCCTCATAATTAAGGGTGCATGTAACTATGAGTGCGTATTATACACGAATAAATAAGTCTAGTGTACATTGATCAATTGGAAAGGGTGCTAATTGGGATTGTTCACTCGCCAATATATTAGCAAATATCGCCATGGGCGATGTTGACTATGGTATGTTCAAAGGACAGAGAACCAAGACATTTTAAAGTATCATTAAAAGATCAACACACACATCTTTTGAACAGTTACAAAAAGCTGAAATATGTACTTGAATGTGAAAGTGAAGTATAAGGATAGCTCTCCCAAGTATTGATTTGTAACTTAGCTTGCAAAGAAATTCCTGTTGAGAGAAGTGACAGAGTTTTGATAATCCCAGATCAGGGCATTAATTAATAGAGAAACATTCCCTAATGTATTGACAGTGTCTTTGTGTTTTGGAGTACTACATTTGAAAAATAGAACATCTGAAGATGAGGCACTCTTTAATGAGAAAATTAAATGTGGCACTTTTGAAGTGTTAACATTGATTGATTAGACAAGAACTTACTTTAAATATCTGCCTTTAATCTTTTTTGCTTGTAATTGAATTATGCAGTGACTGGTTTTGTAAAGTGAATATGATGATTTGAATTTGGGATGGCTAATGAAGTAGGAAAGTACAGCACTGTTGACAGGATGGCAGAAGAGCTGGCTAAATCTGACATTAATACCTTCACTGTCTGGTGCATTTGCAGGGTTCAACATTCTGTGTGTGAGTAACTATGATACAGCTTCAATCATAATGGCACAGTTAAATTAAGTTCAGGTGCTCTGAGGGCAAACGTAGAAATGATTCTTTGGTTAAAATATGCCTTGTGACATGGTTTATAAGCCAGTGATTAAAAACTTAAATGTTTTTAAACCTCACTCACTCACTCACTCACTCACTCACTCACTCACTCACTCACTCACTCACTCACTCAGTGTAACTATACTTTCCACTTGACTGGTTCCAGGTTGTTCTTGCCAGCACCCCTGACCTACAGTGTGGCTTCTCAAGAGACTTGTTCACAGCATGGTGTACCAATGCCAAAAACAGCATCATCCTGACCAACAGAACCTCTCCTGGGACACTGGCTCGATGGCTGATAGACAACCAGCAGAACAAGACTGTCACTATGGAGGTATGGACATTGATGTCATTTACAACTACTTTTATAATACAATGGCGTCATGGACAGTTACTGTTTTGTTACAATGGTGGCATGGTCAGTTACTGTTTTATTAAAGTGGTGCCATGGTCAGTTACCCCTATATTACAATGGTGCCATGGACAGTTACCTTTATATTACAATGGTGCCATGGACAATTACCTTTATATTACAATGGTGCCATGGACAATTACCTTTATATTACAATGGTGCCATGGTCAGTTACCTTTATATTACAGTGGTGCCATGGACAGTTACCTTTATGTTACAATGGTGCCATGGACAGTTACTGTTTTATTACAGTGGTGCTGTGGACAATTACCTTTATATTACAATGGTGCCATGGACAGTTACCTTTATAATACAATGGTGCCATGGTCAGTTACCTTTATATTACAATGGTGCCATGGTCAGTTACCTTTATATTACAATGGTGCCATGGACAGTTACCTTTATATTACAATAGTGCCATGGACAGTTACCTTTATATTACAATGGTGCCATGGACAGTTACCTTTATATTACAATGGTGCCATGGACAGTTACCTTTATATTACAATGGTACCATGGACAGTTACCTTTATATTACAATGGTGCCATGGACAGTTACCTTTATATTACAATGGTGCCATGGACAGTTACCTTTATATTACAATGGTGCCATGGACAGTTACCTTTATATTACAATGGTGCCATGGACAGTTACCTTTATATTACAATGGTGCCATGGACAGTTACTGTTTTATTACAGTGGTGCTGTGGACAATTACCTTTATATTACAATGGTGCCATGGACAGTTACCTTTATTATACAATGGTGCCATGGTCAGTTACCTTTATATTACAATGGTGCCATGGTCAGTTACCTTTATATTACAATGGTGCCATGGTCAGTTACCTTTATATCGCAGTGGTGACATGGACAGTTACCTTTATATTACAATGGTGCCATGGACAGTTACCTTTATATTTGAGAAAAGAATGAATGGACAAAAGGCCATATAAAAAATAAACAGGAGACATGCCATACTGAGATTGTTATTAATTTTCCTTCCTGATGGCATCAGACTTGAATATGAATTATGTACTTTGAACCTGATTTGCTGGTTGGCCTGTAATATTTTGTGGAGCAATAAGAAAATGGTGGTTCTTTGAATGCAAACACTTTCCTTATTGATGAAACAATTAAATGCTTATTAGCAATAAATAATTTATGAAAGTATTGTTCACACAAAATCTGTGGTCCCAGTGTTGGCTCAGTGCAGGTGTACTGAGGCTGACTGTGTTTTTCTTGCTGTTAACATTCATTTATTTATTTGTTCCCATTGAGAAAGTCTGTGAAGCTTGCAGTTAAATTAACTCCCAACATACAGACCAATTTTAAGACATTACTGCATGACTTGAAGCTTTGTTTATGTGAAGTCAGAGAATGGTTGACCTTTTGAACATTTCGATTTGATTATAGACTTCATTAAGTGCTAGTGCCTTTCAAGTATCTTTTGAACACTGATGTGTTTGGGGATCAGGGTATTTATTACAAGGTTATTCACATCTGAGCGTAATGTCACTAGACATGCCATACATTATTGTCAAAATGTAATCAGTTTTTCTTTATCCTGGGAAAGTTTCATTTAAGTTCCAATTACTCTGCCCTTTAGTGGCCTTGTGTGAAGTCAGTCACATGTTAATGTTAAAGTGGTGCTGGTATAATGTCGCTCTTCTCCAAAAAATATTTTAACCACTGGTTGAGATTTATGATTAAATGGCACAACTCTTTCAAGATACATTGAGTTTTACTATCTTTTTTCCTTGGATCGCACTTTGGGATATTGTCAAATTTTTTCATGCAAATAAAATGTAATAAAGTGATTGCTGCATCCAATTTGAAATATTGTATTAAGATGCCAATTTAAAAAAGAAGCTATTGTATCATGCATGACATATTGAAACATTTTCATACTGTTATTTTGTTGTGATAGATTCTGTATTTTTTCTAAGACTGCAAACACTAAACCTAAGTGTTTTTAACATGACGAACATTAGGTTTTGATTCCATATTTATTGCGCCATGTCCATCACCGTAAGCCTGTTCATGGTGCAATGTAATTACTACCCTGTCCATGGATCAGTGTGGACTCAAATGGTATTCTCAACTCCCTGGGAAGTATACCACCCAAGCTGCGTTCTAGCTGTTAGAAGGTTTTGCATTCACATTACCATCTTATCTAACAGGGTACCCATGCTGTGCTTGGTGAACAGACGTTTGGGGCACAGACTGTCATTCAGACAAAATTACCAGTTTAACAGAGATTACGTAAGACAATGGACTGGGTTATGTAGCTGGCTTTCTCATTGTATCTACATATTACTGTTCCTTTCAGCCTTGGGGTTCAAGCGATATTTGGTATGTTTTCGTAGGTGAGACGACGGATCCGTTTGGATGGACCTGAACTAGAAGATTACATGAAGAAAAAACAGGAGAAGAAAGCTCAAGAAAAACTCAAGAAGACAGAGCTGTCTAAGTTGTGAGTAGTAGTCAACTGCAGACAATGTCTTTCACTGTTTGTGCTTTTTTCTTCACTGATTTGGTATTTTTACCTGTACAGGTTGTCCTGATAGTACTTCTATGTGAGCCTGCTTTGTTTTTTGTGTCCTATCCCGTTAGTCGCCTCTGACGACAAGCATAGTCGCCTTTTACGGCAAGCATTGATTGCTGAAGATCTATTCTACCCCGAATCTTCACGGGTCTTTTAATAAGGAGATGTGATGCATTACTAATGCCTGAATTGTTTGTTTTCAGAGATCTGGCTGATGAGTCGAGTGATGAAAGTGAAGCAGAGATGGAGGTAGAGGCCTATGGCAGCAAACCTGGAAAGGGCAAGCATGACCTCATGATTCAAGGGGAGGTAAGTCTGTGTTCCTCATGTCTGTTAAAAGGCACACCATCAGCAAAGTCAAGTCCTTTTTTCTCCTTCAACAATCCACAGTTGGACTGCAGGTTAGCATTGGTCCACAGCAATGCATGCTGGCCATGACAGGTCACGTCATGGATTGTGTTGTTTGACTGCGTGACTTGCAATTGGTTGATTGTGTGTTGCCTAACTGTGATATTGTGAGACATCATTCACTGGTTTGTCTTTTCCAGATTCAATAATTTGCAGATCATTGTCACATGGCTGCGTGGCTTTAAACAAATATATGCATTTTTCAACAAGCATTGTGTTGCAGAACTTTTCTGACCTTGAATCCCCATAAAGAAATATAAATCTGAGAAACATTGAACAATGATAAAAGTACACGTTTTCTTATGATTTCTCAATAAACAGGATTTGTGATCAGATGAAAGTAACTTGAAAGCCTTAAATGTCACAAAGGAAATATTCTTTAAAAATATAAGCTAATGCAAACTTAATCTTTTTGTCAAAGCTGTAATATAATGAGGGAAAGAAATGAGAACACTCAATTTCTCAAGACTACATTTCAAGACTGTGTGTTTCCTTAAAGTACAACACCCCTTCAAAAGTCCTTGAATTTGGTGGCTTGTTATCTGCACAAAGCAAGTATTAATTCTTGCAAAGAAAACTCCCAACAGATAAAAACTGAATTTGTATTGAACATACCTCAGAACGAAGTAATCATTCGAATATTTCAATACAAGTTACACTAAACAAAATGTTTTGGTCAGAAATGCAGATTTAGACTTGTAGTTTCAACCAGGGGTCCGGAAACGGTTATATGTGCCGAAAATGTCCGATTGGGAATCTCAAAACTCCGGTTTAAAATATTGCTTACCGGACATTTAAATTTTTCTGTCCAGACATTTTCAAAAACAAACAACACTACCTTCGGGGTCCAAATAATTGATGAGCCTTATCGTATCCCTTCAGCGAATTCAGGTGAATAAACAGGTATAACAAACTTGGTCAATAAAAGTATGAAATTTGATATAAAACATCACTAGTTATGATGATTTACCATTTAAAATGTATTTCCTGCTCTCCAAGGCATTGTTTTATATGCAGAGATTAGGATTACCGTGTGTATTTTCTCGTAAACTAAGCCGGAAATAGCAATCAGCTGTGCACACGTTTCCTCCCAATCTACCGGTGATTCAGTTAAAATGTACCCAATGATACAACTTCAAAGAATTTTGATGCAATGGTCGGAAGAAATTGTATCTGAAATTATTATTTTATCCGGAATAATATATTCCAATATCGTGTTATTTTAGTTTCCACCATATATACTTTCCAACATACATATTATAAGAACCATAAGCGTAGCACTTGGTACAGATGGTATGCAGGATATTTTTTGACGTATGTAACGATTTTGACCAGTCACCGTAGGGACTTCCCCCGCAACATGTATTTCGATTGCGAAAACATTATGTTGACATTTAATAGTCAAACTGCCTCAAACATGACTTTTAGCGAGTCATGGTACAGCATTTATGATATGTGTATCTATTCTCTTGCAACAAAAGTTCGTTTCAAGGCGTCAATAGCAGTAATCTGACCGTGGTTGCTGTAAATAACGGTGAGTTGTGCGATCTACCGATCACTTCGGATACGATTTCGTCGAAATTATTGTAAACATCATTATAATTATTGAATGAAATATTGAATAAAATTAATCAAATATTTTGCAAACTCTAGTCCAGATAAACAATGAACAATTTTTTTTATCACCAGATATTATAATGATAGGATTAAATTGCGTACTTCAGTTCGGATTTGTTGACTGGTATTTCCTGTGTTAAGTGAATGGGTGATCAGCTGATAATGTTTTCTGAGATGGGGGAAAACATTGTGTCATTCGAAAACTTGAGTTTGTTAAAAATGTTAGTAAATTTTGGGAGCTATACTTTACCGCGCGCTATAACCGAAGCGTGCAATAACGAGGGAACACTGTACGTAACAACTTGTAAAGTGTGTGAAAAGTCGTACAAAAATACGCTATTTGAAGGGGTCGTGGCCTAAATGCAAATGTCTGATTGGGATTTTAAATTTTCCGGATCCCTGCTTTCAACTGTATCTGAAAGAGAAGTAGACATTGTGTCTATCTGTAAAAAATGGACACTGTATCTCTATAAGTGCATCAAGGTCAGCAAACAGCGCCCCTCCTATTCCAAGAAGCTGTAACCAGGCTACAGGTGGATGGTATGTCTGTACTATATTGTTGTCTTCTAATGCCACAGGTCTGGCAGGTGAATTATCCAAAGCCTCATCAGGTCCTTAATTGCCACCCCTGGCTCCCCCAATCTGTTTCCACAAACCAACTGACCATCTCCTGGGACTTCTTACCCCTCAAAAAGCCAGCACACGTCTGCCAAGGTCTCAATTTAGCGGAATCCCGGATGCACGGGCATCGCATAATGTAGACAGATCGGGTCTTGCATGATTATTGCCACTGTTTGTGATACGGTGATATATTGCAGTTCCTTTGATACTGGCAGCTCTACAGAAAGTGTGAATTGATAATAATTGTAGAAAATGACATGTGAGATGCAGAACTGATTGTCGCCTAAGGGATCTATCAGATTTTCATTAACTCTAAGAAGGCTGGATGCGACAGTGCTAGAGTGCTTGCGAAATGTCACCAGTAATTATGAGAGATAGAGTGTTAAAGGGTCAAAAGTTTACAGGGTTTCCGTGGTAGTCTTTTTCAGGTTATTTTGTTAGCACTGATGACATATCAAAGTAATCCCGTTTTAGATCTGTTGACATGCTCATTGTCTGGATCTGGCGTGACACGCTGGAAGGATAAACTGTCAATATAAGCTAGGTGTGTGCGAGCATCTTCCTTAATGTGGTGTGTGTCCTCTTGTAAACATGCGAGGAGCGTGCTGCGTAGCCCCGATTGAATCTCTGATCAATGGCAAGGAATTGAATTTGTTAGACTGCAATCAGAAGTGTTTATGTGCTTTCTCCTGTGATGCTTAGCAAGTGTTTGTAAAGGAATCACAGTCTTTTTGCAGGAAATGGAGAATTTTGAGAATTTGATATTATCTGGTGAATTAGATGGTGATAAAAGAAAAGTAACGTTTACAAACACATTGGAATGGCAATTATTTTCACACTGGCATGCCATATTGTCAGTTAATTGGGCTTCAATGAAACTACATATGAATTTAAAGTTTGAGGCACTGTTTGAACAGTGACCAGGCTTCATGGTAACAGTTTCCATGATTTCTGGTTTTTTTAAGTCTTGATTGATTGTCAATGGATGTTGTTTGTTTGTTGTTTAATGCAGCACTCTGTAATATTCCAGCTATATGACTGCGTTCTGTAAATAAATGAGTCTGGACTAAACAATCCAGTGATTGACATCATGAGCATCATTGGGATACGATGACATGCATCAACCAAATCAGTGAGCCTGACCACCTGATCCCGTTAGTCGCCATTTACGACAAGCATATTTGCCGTTTACGGCAGCATTGGTTGCTAAAGACCTAACCTACCCGGGATCTTCACGGGTCGTCAATGGATGTGGTTGATGTGTGTGTTTGGTTTCACTAGGTTTAAAGTGTATTTGGTCATTGGAAGAAAGAAGGGAATGCACAAAGCAAGTTTCTTCATCTGTAGATACTTGATGACAATATAATGCAAGACGAGGTATTTGGTAGTGAGCCAGGTGGGAATGAAATGTATTATAGCCTCTTATGGCTTGAGTGCTGCCAACATTCACGTACTCACTGAACTTGGTCCTGGGCTTTGTACTACAGAGCAACCTTGGCGCTATGACTGTCATAAGTTGAAGTATGATGGTTATGACAATCCTACCGCTAAGATTGTTTTGTGGAATGGGGCTCTAGTGTGTTTGATTCACAATTACAGCACCAAAAGGTGAGGTGAAATTGGGTTTAACGTCATGTCCAAGATTATTGCACATAAAGCAACGTGCATGCGTGCACATAAAGCAACGTGCATGCGTGTGCATGCATGTGCATGCGTGCGTGCGTGCGTGCGCCCGCTTGTACTAGTCCGGACTGATGCCGCCAGACAGGGTAACAACAAGTATCATCTTTTAATGTCTTTTGGTATGATGCGGCCAGGGATCGATCCCCGGAACTTCCGCTCTCCGGGCGTAAAGCACCAAAACCCTTTCCATAATCATGAGACTTAAAGCAACAGCCATTTTACAATTCAGATCATTTCATGAGCATTTGTTTATGAATCACTATCAAGTAGTGATGCTACCTGGTGTTTATAAAAAAGAGCGCATTTCCTGCCCCATCAATGGCACCTCACACATCACAAACACATTCAAAGACAAGTCAATTGTTCACCTGAAATAGCATCGGAACAAAAAGTACCATTCTCAATAAGGAATTGTATCGGACATAATTTTTGTCACTGATGTGTCAAATCTGAAATAGCATCCTCATGCCTACCATAAAACCTTTTAGAAAGCTTTGCTAAGGCCCCGAATGTTTTTTTAAAACCCTGATCTATCAACTTTTGAGCAAGATTCATATGATGCTCTTTGATATCTTTGTTTAAAGAGCATGCTCGTTTGTACCTCAACAGGAGTGAAATGTAGACACTAAAGGCTGGAGCTGCTGGAATATTACTCGACACAAAGGGAAAGTTGAATATTGGAAAGTTGAAGTCATTAGGAATCTTCACAAGCCACAGCATGTTTGATATTGCTGATTGTGGTGTAAAACAACATGTATTCATGCCAACACAAAAAAGATGCACCACTAACCAGCCAATATTCAAAACACCAGAACCTCTGCCAAGCTACCAAGAATTTCCGACCGCCTCCGTGGTCGAGTGGTAGAGCCTCTGCTCGGAGAGCGGAAGGTCCGGGGTTCGATCCCCGTCCGCGTCATACCAAAAGACGTTAAAAGATGGTACTTGTTGTTACACTGTCTGGCGCTCGGCATTAAGGGGTTAAAACAAGGACTGGTCGGCTCAGAGTCAGTATACTGTGTCTGAGTGGGGTATTCATATTAAACTGCGGCATGGTATCTCAGTGAGCTAGCACTATAAATCGGCATCAGTCCGGACTAGTACAAGCAGCCACATACACACACGCGCGTACATGCACTTGCTATATACGCGCGTACATGCACTTGCTATATAAGTGCAATAATCTTGGATGTTAAACCCCATTTCACCTCACCTCACCAAGAGTTTCCCATTTGAATATCACATCAGTGGCTGTCGCTAAGCATTTAAACTACTTACATGCTTCACTAGCTCATAGACCATCAGGTGACCAGTACAATGAGATCAGTGGCATGTATTTATCAATCAGGCGAGGACCAGCATGGACAAGCCGGCTGAATTATATGGAGTGACCATGCAGAAATGCTGAGTGACAATAAATGGCACATTAGGAGGTTGTTTTATTCCATTAACATAGGCTTAAGCAATGTGCGTGCTTAATGTGTCAATCACATGCCATCCTTGTTTGTCTTCCTAATCAGCTTGTCAATTACCTACGATCTTGTTTACTTCCTCTGTGCAAGTCAAGGTAACAAGAAGTAGGGTCTAAAGGCTAGGTGTGTACAGTGAAATCATGTTGGGTAAGCCCAGCCCAATCCCCAGATTAATTAATTTCAGGATTAACGAATCATAGATACAGAGTAATGTCCTCAATATGCAGATGTTTCTGTGACAGTATCTGTTCAGAAGGTAGACTTTCCATACAAACCGTAACAAGGTTTCAGTGTATCACTGTTTCTGTATAAAGTAATATGAACACACAATGCCATTTAGAAAGTGGTCAAATGTAACAAGTGTTACAGTTGGGATAACACTTTCTTTGTAAAGTACAGATTCTCATACTTATTTGGGTTGAGTCACGTCTGGGATTCAAACCGACACTGCCAGAGTGAGGCACCTAAAGCTTGTCTCCAAGTCAGTATACCGTATCTGAGTGGGTTATCATGTTAAACGGTGGCATGATATCTCAGTTGGCTCGCACTATAAAACCAGCATTTGTCTGAACTAGTACAAGAAGCCCATGGTCATGCATAAACTTCACTATGTAAGGTATTCAATAATGTTGAATGCAATGTTAAACCCTATTTCACCTCACCCACCTATCTTTGAGGGTTAAATGTCTGGTAATTGTCAGTCCAGATTAGAGATGGAAGAGGTAAAGAATTATTTTCCATTTACCTCACTACTCATAAAAGAAACATTTGGGGATCCAAATATGTCATGACAGTGTTCGGTTGTGTATGCAGGTGGAGGATTGAACAATCTTAAAAACCATATTGTCCATATCATAAAAGGTATGACCAAAATCTCAGTTATGATAAAATATATATAGGCACAGTGACTTTTTTCCTCAATTATCTGTGTTCAAAATTAAGCCCGAAAGGAAAGGGGTCCTTGTCATAACCCTATTGTTAAAAGTTTGAAATTAAGTAGCCTCCTTGATTCATATACTATTGAAGAAGGACTCCAGGACCCCCCTTAATTTGAACACTGGATATGATGCACACGAACAGTTGATAATTTTAAGCAACTATTTTACAAGGCCTCCCACAAATTGATCTAAATGCCACGACTGTTGTAAGTCTAATTTTAGGATGGGTTGCGAATAGTCTTATGGCTAAGAAGGCATTGTTTGAATGGGCCCTGAACTCTTGACAGGGTTCAATATCAATTAAGCATAATGTTTTTCAGACATGTACGAGTAAGGATTAACTATCATTGCCAGTAATAAATAACCAAGTGGAAAGCAAGGGCTTGTTGTTTTGTGACGTAGGCCAGCTGGCTGGATATCACAAATAATCACTGTAATGGCAGGACATGTTTTAATGATTGTTTACTTGACTGGGCTGGTGAAGCAGCACCATCTCATGCAAGCCCACCACACTGATGAGCAGTGCTAATTAAACCTGCTACCCTCAGGCCTATCTTAGCAACAGGACTCCTGAAAGTGGGCAATTTGATAGGCACTTACTCTATGAGAGCCATCAATGATTCACACGTCTACAACCAGAATTTCCTTTCTCATAAGCGAACTACTTTGGTTTCCCACACAGCTGATCATAGAATCATAAATGTTTGATATTGTAGTGTGAAACCCAGGCTGGCATGTTGCTGACCCTACATCTAGGGTACTTAGTGCCTTGGTTTCAAGGCCACGTGTTCATGTCAACTTGCCGTGATTGTCAACAAGGGCTTGAAGGCATTAAGTACATTGCGAATGGAAGGCTGGCTTTCTTGGCTGGCTGTGGTCAGACATGTTATAGTAAAGTGCTTGTCTGATGCTGGGGAACAATTTATCCTTTACAGGGATTGGATTAGGTTATGGTCAGATATGACCTGAGTATTGCTGTCGTGAAGTGGTTATAAGAAGGTGTGGAACAGCTTCCCCTTTCCAGGGCTCAGGGTGGCTTGTTATTTTTCTCTGAATCAGTTGGCTTGACCCTTCAGTTTGTGTTGTTTTGTACATTTCTTAAATTTATTTCCTGAGAGAATTTATAAAAACTGCTGGAATTTGTTTTTGTTTAATAAGAAGGTTCTAAGCAATTGCGTATCAGTGAGAAACTCGACACTTTTTGAAGGGAACATTTTAAAAACATAAGAATTTAAGAATATAAGAGGTCTCTAAAAAGCAAATGGTTTTGCTTTGCTGTTATTTATTGGGTATTCTAAACACATGTTTTCTCTCTAACAATGATCTTCCAACCCTTGTTTCTCTAAATATCAATCACTGGATTGTCTGGTCCAGACTTGAACTATGTCAATGGTTTCCTTGTCACTGGTATCACAATGCGTTGAGTATATACCGGGCTAGAATTGGTCCCCAGCCACCTATGCCAGTCATTAAGAGGCAACTAAATTGATTAGCTTAGTCTGGCTTAGTGACTTGGTTGATATAGCTTGTCATCATACCCCACAGACTTGACCATAATATCAATCACTGGATTGTCTGGTTCAGACTAGATTATTTACAGGCCACTATCACATGTCTGGAATATTGCTGAGTGTGGCATTAAACAACATTCAAATAAATTCATCAAAACAGATTGTTGAAATGTCAAATATTCTTTGCTCATTTTTACCTGGTATTCATATTCTTAAAATGTCAGAGGCGGTCAGGTAGCCTAGTGGTTAAAGCGTTCGCTCATCACGCAAAAAACCCGGGTTCAATTCCTGACATGGGTACAATGTGTGAAGCCCATTTCTGGTGTCCCTTGCCGTGATATTGCTGGAATATTGCTAAAAGCGGCTCAATAATATGCAATAAAAGAAATTCCCTCATTCCATCTATTCTGAATTTTGTGAATTTCAGGGAAAGCAAAGGAGTGGTTTCTTCAAGCAAGCCAAGAAGTCCTACCCGATGTACCCTTTCCATGAAGAAAAGATTAAATGGGATGAGTATGGAGAAATCATCAGGTAAGTCAATTCTTGTCTCTCCATGTTGATTCTGTAACCCTCTAGGACCTGCAGCACATGGGGGTTATCTCTCATTTGTTGACATGAAGTCATATTCCTGATATACTGGTTGAGGATTTGTCTCCTGGTCTTTTTTGAGTATGATGAAAAGAGTACTTTCTGAAAGACATGTTTTCTAAAATCTGTATTATTCAATCCAATTTTCCAATTGAAGAAAAAAGGAGTTTAATGTGCATTTTGTTGTGCAAGGTGCACCTGTTAAAACACGTGTTCCTCATAATAAAGAAGTTGACATCCATATATTCTCTTCCTTATGTGTATCACTTCTAAATGCCTTTCAAAGACCCAAAGAGTGATGAGGTAATAATTTTAGTGATACTTTATGATGGACGTCCCTTACAAAATACCCAAATGAATAACGAAATAAATTATGCCAATAAATCTTCCGATTGACTCCAGTAACTAAGGAATTTGTTTCATATTTAATGGAGTAATTTGTACTGGAAAATGACTAAATTGTGAATTCCTCACAGGCTGCCATTTTCTTTTTGTATTATAGAACAATGGGATGTGGTATGATGTTTCCATTCATTAATTTACAAGAATGTCAATGTATACACATAGTTGCTTATATGTTATAAATTGCATTAAAATTCTTTGGTACTTTTTAACTGAATCCCCGGTAGATTGGGAGGAAACGTGTGCACAGCTGATTGCTATTTCCAGCTTAGTTTACGAGAAAATACACATGGTAATCTTAATCTCTGCATATAAAAGAATGCCTTGGAGAGCAGGAAATACAGTTTAAATGTTACATCATCATGTCTAGTGATGTTTTATATCAAATATCATACTTTTATTGACCAGGTTTGTTATACCTGTTTATTCACCTGAATTCTCTGAAGGGATAGATGTGGGGTTTTTTTAAAGCGGATCTTTTTTTACACTATAAACAAGAGAATAATACACATAAACTCTGAAACGTGCAGATGTAGATGGTGTTAGGTAGGCAGAGCATGTATACTGTTTTGTTGGTCATCTTCCACCTACGACTCAACCTTCGTTAAACCGCTGATCATCTATAATTCTCATAAATTATGTGGACCCCAAGGCTAGCGTTGTAGTGAGGGATCACTGTATTGCCAACACTCAAAAATGTGTCTGATCTGAAAAAATGGAAATGCCACCTGATGGACTGGCTCCAATTTTACATTGAAACGTTGCAGCTCATCATGTCAGCTTCACTGAAGATCTGATGACAATTGTCACCATGATTAAAGCCTTTACACCAGTTCAGCATGAATTTTCAAAGAAGCCCAAATTTCATCCCAGGCAAATATCCTTATAATCTTTCCATGTCTGCCACCAGGTTTTCAGTATGTATGCCGGGAATTTGGATCATTTGGGACATGACATGGATGATCACGAACAGCATTCAGAAATCAGGCTGATTAAAAGAGGACCTCATTACTCCTAACACCAAATATGTATTCCATGTCTGGACCCTTTTCCAATTACCACATGGTCATCGCAACTTTAGGTCATGTTACCACCACTTGGGAGAAGGTCGTTGAGTCCATGCCGGGCTGAAGCCAGCAGCCTTCTTTCTATTCTATATGGCAGCTCAATGTTCCATGAATTTCAAAGACCTTAATATGTATTCCGTGTCCAAAGTGGTCCATCACCGTTTGGTGATACTAGGTTATTAGTGCTGAACTTTGGGAAGGTGGTTCAGTGCAAACACACTCTGCTGTCTTGTAGAACTTTGAAACTCGGGCAATGCTTCGAGTCCGATTAACTCATATCAGAAGGTGGAAATAATTGTCATTCCATGCTTCTGTTTCATGAAGGTTGCTGTGTGATGGTCACTGGTCACACGACGGTCAAAACATATTTGTATGATGGTCTGAGGTACTTGTGTGATGGTCTAAGGTACATGTGTGAAGGTCTGAAGTATGTGTGTGTTGGTCAGTGGTACATGAGTGGTGGTCAGTGGTACATGTGTGGTGGTCTGAGGTACATGTGTGTTGGTCTGAGGTACATGTGTGATGGTCTGAGGTATGTGTGTGATGGTCAGTGGTACATGTGTGATGGTCAGTGGTACATGTGTGTTGGTCTGAGGTATATGTGTTTTGGTCTGAGGTACTTGTGTGGTGGTCAGTGGTACATGTGTGATGGTCTGAGGTATATGTTTGATGGTCTAAGGTACATGTGTGATGGTCTGAGGTATATGTGTGATGGTCTGAGGTATGTGTGATGGTCTGAGGTATATGTGTGGTTGTCTGAGGTATATGTGTGATGGTCTGAGGTATGTGTGTGGTTGTCTGAGGTATGTGTGTGGTTGTCTGAGGTATATGTGTGATGGTCTGAGGTATATGTGTGATGGTCTGAGGTATATGTGTGATGGTCTGAGGTATGTGTGTGATGGTCTGAGGTATGTGTGTGGTTGTCTGAGGTATATGTGTGATGGTCTGAGGTATATGTGTGGTTGTCTGAGGTACATGTGTGATGGTCTGAGGTATACGTGTGGTTGTCTGAGGTATATGTGTGATGGTCTGAGGTATGTGTGATGGTCTGAGGTATATGTGTGATGGTCTGAGGTATATGTGTGATGGTCTGAGGTATGTGTGTGGTTGTCTGAGGTATATGTGTGATGGTCTGAGGTATATGTGTGGTTGTCTGAGGTATATGTGTGGTTGTCTGAGGTATATGTGTGGTTGTCTGAGGTATATGTGTGATGGTCTGAGGTATGTGTTTGATGGTCTAAGGTACATGTATGATGGTCTGAGGTACTTGAATGGTGGTCTGAGGTACATTTGTGTTGGTCTTAGGTACTTGTGTGATGGTCTGAGGTATGTGTGTGGTGGCTGAGGTACTTGTATGGTGGTCTGAGGTATATGTATGGTGGTCTGAGGTATATGTATGGTGGTCTGAGGTATGTGTATGGTGGTCTGAGGTATATGTATGGTGGTCTGAAGTATATGTATGGTGGTCTGAGGTGTGTGTATGGTGGTCTGAGGTGTGTGTATGGTGGTCTGAGGTATGAGTATGGTGGTCTGAGGTATGTGTATGATGGTCTGAGGTATGTGTATGGTGGTATCTGAGGTGTGTGTATGGTGGTCTGAGGTATATGTATGGTGGTCTGAGGTGTGTGTATGGCAGTCTGAGGTATATGTATGGTGGTCTGAGGTGTGTGTATGGTGGTCTGAGGTGTGTGTATGGTGGTCTGAGGTGTGTGTATGGTGGTCTGAGGTGTGTGTATGGTGGTCTGAGGTGTGTGTATGGTGGTCTGAGGTATGTGTATGGTGGTCTGAGGTGTGTGTATGGTGGTCTGAGGTGTGTGTATGGTGGTCTGAGGTGTGTGTATGGCAGTCTGAGGTGTGTGTATGGTGGTCTGAGGTATATGTATGGTGGTCTGAGGTATGTGTATGATGGTCTGAGGTATGTGTATGGTGGTCTGAGGTGTGTGTATGGTGGTCTGAGGTGTGTGTATGATGGTCTGAGGTATATGTATGGTGGTCTGAGGTGTGTGTATGGTGGTCTGAGGTATATGTATGGTGGTCTGAGGTATGAGTATGGTGGTCTGAGGTATGTGTATGGTGGTCTGAGGTATGTGTATGATGGTCTGAGGTTTGTGTATGATGGTTGGAGGAATGTGTTTGTTGGGTCTGAGGTACATGTATGGTGGTCTGAGGCACATGTGTGATGGGCTGAAGTACATTTTGGATGAGCTGCATGTACGTGTATGACAGTCTGAGGTCCAAGCAACAACCTCATCTTTGCCATGCAAGCTCTCCATCACCATGTTATGTCCACGCTAACTTGAAACTGTTGGCTTAAATGAAGGGAACCATGATATATTTGTCTACCACACAACTCTGTTTAGTCTGTGAAGTGACTGTTGTGAACTTTTCCAGATTGGATTAGCATTACTTATATCTGCTTGGGAAAACAATGTGCTCGGTCTCATCTGTCCGACTGATGCACACGGGGGGTGTGAACTGCTTGTTCTCTGAGTGGACTTGACCATGATTGAATTCAAGGGGCGTTCTGATGGAAGACAGCCACTGGGTCAGATAATGCTGACAAAGTTCAATTAAATTTATGCTCCTAATTTGATTAATAACTTAGATTATATATTTCTGTGGAAGACCTGTTTACCATCGAAAAAGCCTGCGTGATACCACACAGCATTTAGTAGGCGATAGTTGTAAGTGTTTAGGTTTAATATCTATGAATTAGAAAGGGGACTTTTCTGGTTAGCCTAGATATTAAGTCCGATGTCATAGGAATTCTCACATGGAATGGCACTGGGCTTTGATCCTGTTTATTTGAAAGCAAGTTAGAAAACAAAAACACTGTCATATATCTGGAATATCCGACATACAATAGAACAATAAGTGTTGGTCTTAGTCACCTCTTGGAGAGCAGTTCGAAAAGATTATATCAGGTAAAAAACCTAAATTCAGACATACATCCCAAATAGTGAAGATACTCGAACATATTTATTCTTAGGGAAAACACACAAATCATAACAATGCCTAGAATTTCCTTGGTGTGTTGGTTTGTGATGCAACACCAACACACCAAGGAATTGTTTGGTTAACAGGGTGTGATTTTCCACTGACAAAACTGCATTGGTACAGGTTATAATATAAGTCTGTTAGCTGACAGTATAATATTCATTCCATGGACAGGTAAATAAATGTCACTTGCTTCAAATTTATACCATGCATACAAGATCTTAACATATTTAAATAAAATTACTTTCATTCTGCACAATGTTAATGTTTTCATCCTGTTTATGTACACAACATATGCCAATATCTGCTATACACCAATTTGATTTTAGTAATACCGTATTCAACGTAATAAGCGCCCAGGGCGCTCTCAAAATTAGAAATCGGCGGCTCTTATTAGAATATAATTTTGGTGAAACAGTTGAAAGATCGTAAATTTCATGGTTTATGCTTACAGCCTGAAATGATAGCACAAAAGAA